GGTCATCAGGCTTGGCTACAAGCACCATTACCCACGGAGCCATCCCTCAGCCTTGTCAAATAATTTTGTGGATGTGAATGGCCAGGAACTGAAAGGTTAAGAACTTCCTCGGGGGATTGGAACCCAGATACCTTTTGGCTTGTGTTTTCCCATTAGCTTCATCTGATAACTGCAGACAGAATCCGGTTTTGAGTTCACTTGGAATGCAATGCACACAGTTTCAGTCACAGGCCCCCTCATGTCCCCACGAGACAGTCTCCTTAGCTCACTGCCATCGGAGGCCGGTGCCTCATGACAGCAGACAGAAGCCCCCGTTTCTCTGTGCGTGGCAGGGGGACCAATCGAGCAGCTGCCTCCTCTCTGCTGTGTGCCTCATAGGAGGGGTGATCCTGACACCCAGAAAGCTGTGCAGATGTTTGACCAGTATGTTGGTTAAAGAGGCAAATTAGCCTGGCATGCCACTCACACCTGGAATCCTAACTCTCGGAGTGTTGGGGGAGGTGGATGCCAAAGTAGGAGGATTGCTATGTCTGCAAGGCTAGCCTGGGCTACATAGCAACGCTGTCTTTAAAAAAACAATAAAAGAGAAGCGGGGATCTGTTCTGCTGAGGACCGGGGGCTGAGTGTCTGGAGGCATCATCTCTTAAAACTAGAAGAGCTTTCTTCACAAATTAAAGCAATTCACTGTGCATCTGTAGTCAACTGCACACCTGCACCCTTTTATTAATATGGCTTTCTCCATAGCTAATCATCGATTAGCAAAAGGGTTCCTCATTGCACAGAGGGCATTTACCCAGCAGGGCATGGGGGAAAAGCCAAGGTCAGAGCACCAAAGGAATTCTCACCTAAGTGTGGGACATGGGGCCAGTTGAGGTCTTGAATGTATTCTGGGAGGTGGTCACCTTGGGATGGGACAGGATATGATAGAGGAAGAGCATCACACAGATTCCCTCAAGCTTATCCATCCATCTAGCCATCTGTCCGTCTTTGTCCTCAGTCAGGGCAGCAGCAGGGAGAGGTGGTGTCTGCAGATCTTAGAGTGCCTGCTTCTAGGCAGGGGCTGGGCTTTTCCAGGGAGTGCCAATTGTTTTTCTGCACTTCATGCAGAGCAGTGGAAAGTGAACTGCTGGACAAGGGGGCTCTTAGCGCCCAAAGTGGCATTTGGTCCTACCTCTTGATTTTGCAAAGGAAGTAAAAGCCCAATGAAAGCAAGCCAACTGCTTGAGGACACACTGCAAAGTAGAGTCTTGACCCCAGCTCCAGGTATCCTGACATGCATAGTGCCGGGGCTGTGTGTGTGTGTGTGTGTGTGTGTGTGTGTGTGTGTGTGTGTGTGTGTGTATGGTGACATAAGAGGCCTGTGCAGCAGCTGGTTGAAGAGGCTGTGCTTTTTCTCTTGGGCCTGCATGCTCCTCCTTCTTTCCTTATGAAACATGGTTTCTTTCCACTGTAGGTGTCCTTGGGCAGGGGAACGGCTTGCTGTGGACTTCATTGTCAGTATCTGCCCAGCAGAGTCCATTAAGAGAGACAGGCTCCTTGGAGGTGAGTGAAGAGCGTTGCCCTCCTGTCAGAGAGGATGAGGGCTGGCCTGGTGATCCATGGTTCTGAGGGTGACATCTGAGTGAGGCAGCTAGTGAGGCCTGGGCCCTGGGAGTCACATGGGTTGATTCTTCCAGTCAGCCTGCAGAGAACCTGCTGAGTGTGTGTGTGTGTGTGTGTGTGTGTGTGTGTGTGTGTGTGTGTGTGCGCGCGCGCGCGCATGCGTGTGTGTGTGTGTGTGTGCGTGTGCACACGCGTGCGTGAACACTTACTAGAGGACTGCCCCTGGGATGGTAAGAGTGATTTTTTTGCCTCTCTAAAGGGAATGATATTGGGTGTCTCTGCATCCTCTGCTGTTTGGTTTCAGCTCCTATCCCCGATGCCTGGTCCTCAGGCTACTGTGTCTCCACTCTTGGGAGGAAGTGTACTGAGGACTCATTGATATACTTTCAGTTGCACAGCTGAGGGCTTAATAGAGAGTGCATGGATGCGTTCAAACCCCAGCTCTGCCTCTTTCCAGCCACCGTGGGCCACTCACCTAATCTTCCATGCCCCAGATTTCTCCTCTCTGTCACAGGACTGTGGTAAGAGGATGAGATGACAGAGCAGGATGAGTTGAGGAAAGTATTCTCTATGTGTTAGTCCTCAGGCATGTAAGCTGATTCGATGTTAGTCTGTAGCCCTCAACAAACCTGATCATTTTCAGATATGACAAATAATAGGTAAGAATATACTTTGTTGGGGCTGGAGCAATGGCTCAGTGGTTAAAAGTACTGGCTGTTCTTCCAGAGGACCTGGGTTCAATTCCCGGCACTCATATGGCAGCTCACAACTATTTGTAATTCCAGTTCCAGAGTTCTAATACCCTCATACAGACATACATCCAGGCAAACCACCCTTGCACATGAAATAAAATATATTTTAAAAACAATACACTCCATTGTCTCTATAGATTAATATAATTCCACTGTGTATATGTACCACATTTCCGTTCGTGTGTTGATGGACATTTTAGACCGTTTCCAGTTCCTTGCTATTGTGAACAGAGTAACAAAACCCACGGATGAGCAGGTGTCTTCACTGTAGAATATAGAGTCCTTTGGGTGTATGCCCAGGATTGATACCACTGGCTCATATGGTAGCTCTATTTTAATTTTTTCAATTTCCAAAATAGTTGCACCAGTTTGTACTTTGATCAGCAGTAAATATGGGCTCCTCTTTCTCTACATCCTTGCCAGCATTTGCTGCCATTTATCTTCTTGATGGTAATCATTCTGACGGGGGTGAGATGGAATTTCAAAGTAGTATGAATTTGCATTTCCCTGACGGCTGTTAAAAACGTTTATTAGCCATTTGTAGTTGATCTTTTCAGAATTATCTGTTCATTCCATTAGCCAGTTTATCAATTGGGAGTTTTGGACTTTTGTGTCTAATATTTGCAGTTCTTTATATATTCTAGAGATTAATCCCATGACTGACGACATATAGTTATCAAAAACTTTCTCAAATTCTATAGGGTGGCTGGGATGAGTTAGAGGGAGGAGTCAGGATGAATATGATTAAATTACATTGTATGAAATTCCCAAAGAACTAAGAAAAGTGCTATATACATGTATATATATATATATATATATATTTTTTTTTTCTTTCTTTCTCTCTCTCTCTCTCTCTCTCTCTCTCTCTCTTTCTTTCTTTCTTTCTTTCTTTCTTTCTTTTTAAAGGAGTGATGTGCATTGACTAGGCGTGACTCCTCAGGAAAGCTTCTTGAATGTGCTGTATCTGTTTTCTCATCTAAAAATTAGCGATGATGAGTATCCATATCCTCCATGAGACCTAAGGCTTAGCTCAGGGACAGCAGTGGGGCAGTCCTTGTGCCCAAGGGGTGCCCAAGAAGTATAAGCTGCCCTTACTTTGTAGTTTGAGTGTGAGACGGAATAAGCCTGAAGTGGCAGCTCTGTGCCTTGTGAGATGTGACCATCTGGGTTGTTAATCTCAGCCAGCCTCAGTTTCTTGACTGTTGAACATGGTGTTCATTATGCTGTCTCAGACCTGGTGGGACTGAATGACAGACGGTGTGTGGAGTGTGGGGTACAGTTTCTGGCCTGTAGCAAGTGCTCAAGGAGTCTTTCTGCTATACTTTGTGAGCTCTTCACTATCCTCAGAGATTGGCTTTTGGCTCATAGCTCTCCTACCTTCTGCCGTCCCATCCTACTCACAGTGATGGATGCCTGAGAAAACGGTCAGGGAGCATCTAGAGCGCACAGATCTCCCTTTCTTTTCTGCAAGCTTGCAAGCTTGCTTTAAGTGCTCTCTCTCTCTCTCTCTCTCTCTCTCTCTCTCTCTCTCTCTCTCTCTCTCTGAGGGGGGGGGCAGAGAGTTGGGGAGGTGTGTACACATGGAGAGGCCAGAGAAGACATCAGCTGTCCTGCTCAATCACTCTGTGCCTTCTTTCCTTGAGAGAGAGTCTCTCACTGAACCTCGAGCTATGCCAGCAGCCAGAAATCCCAGCTATCCTCCTGTCTCTGTCTCCTACAGCACTAGGGATTACATACATATGTGCAGACATACACAGCTAGTTGGGTAAGGGCTGGAACTTGAACTCTGATCCTCATGCTTGTTCAGTAAATGCTCTTACCTCCTGAGCCACCTCCCCAGGTCCCTGAAACCCCGTGGTTTTGTTTTTTAAATATTCATTTATTTTTACTTCATGTGTATGAGCATCAGGTTGCATATACGCATGTGCACCATATGCATGCCTGGTCTTATGGAGGCCAGAAGAGGGATTGAATGGAATCCTCTGGAACTAGAGCTGCAAATAGTTGTGAGCCACCATGTGGGTGCTGGAAATCGAACTTGGGTCCTCTGCAAGGGCAAGCGCTCTTACCCACTGAGCCACCTCCCTAGGCTCCCACTGTCTTAGTTTAAATGTCACCACCACCTTACTGGTGTGAAGCTCTTGGTATTTTTCAAGGTGATTTTGTGTCTTTGACACAAGTTGGTCTCACAGCAATCCTATAAGGTAAAGTATATATAACTTTTCTTGACTCCCAAGTGATCAGAAAAACAGTGACTCAGGGATTAAGTGACTGGCCCGAAGTCACCCAGTAAGCTAACTGCATATACCCAGGTCCATGTCCCCCATTCAGGATCCAGGAAGAATGGTAGCCCCTTCTTCACTGCTATATCAAAGACTTCATTATATATGATCTCATCTGTGGGGTAGCTTTTACCATCATCCCCCTGCTGTAGACCCAGAGAGGCTAAGTGACTCGTTCAGAAATGCCCAGCAGATAAATGATGAAAATGAATTTTCGATTCTATAGTCAGTTCTATGGTCTTTCTAACTCTTTTTTTTTTTTTTTAAGAGGCTGGTTGACCATAAAACAAACAAAACACCAGGTAAAACAAGAGCCAGCACCTCGGCTCTGACAGTCAGGCCACACCGTAACTTTTTCTGACAACAGCAAGGATCAAGATACCCAACAGGAAGCATGGAAATCTACCAGGCAGCTCCCCACTGAAGGGTGTAATTAGAGAGCTGACAGGCTGTACACGCGGCACCATTAACAGGTCCACCTGTGAGGGAGACCTGGCGAGCACAGGTAATTTGGACAGAGTATAGCACTCAAAGGAGACTCAGGCTGCAGGTGCCCAGCCTGACCCTGGGGCCAGCAGCCTCCCCAGGGAACAGGAGGAAGGGCCTGGCCTGGACTCTGCCGGTGACACAAAGCTGTTTGCCGTGGTGCTCACTGCACATTATGCTAAAAGTGTGACAGATTTTTGAGGCAGTCTGAGTGGGAACCATGGAAACAAGTTAGGGGAGAGGAAAAGCTGATTGCGGCTGCTCCTGTTAGAGAGACAGGGGTGAGTTGCAGGGCTGTATCCTCCCTCCTCCTCCACCAGCTTTGGCTTCTGCTTTCATCCCCAGCTCCCCCAGCTGCCTGCCTTTGTGACCCCTCCCAAGCACACCAACAAAGGAAGGTGGGAAACATGGGGACAGTGATAAATCGTGGGGTCTTGCAATCTCCTTTTCTGGGCTCTAACACAGAGTCTGGGCATCGTAAGAAGTACCCTTGAGCTGAATACTTACCACTTACCGTGTGCTAGGCACTGTGCGACCTGTCTCCCTGGCATTGTCTCCAGCTCTTTCACCACCTCTGAGTACCCTCATCATGTGTGTGAGAACCGGGGGGCTTGAGGGACTAAGCAACTTGATCAGGCATGCAACTATTTTTGGGGCGTATGGGAATCTAGACCTGCCTTGAAGAGCCATGCTTCATTCACTGCATCACACACACCTCCATGACCCTGCAACCCTCTACAAACATTGACAAACCTGGTTTTCAACCCAGTCATTTAGGGCAGAAAAACAGATCCGTGAACTCCTTGTTTCAATATGCACAAGGTCACGGGGTTTTTCCACAGTGATGTCCTCTCTTCTGAAGAGGGTGGAGACAGCATCCACTCTCCACTTTGAAGCTGCCCTCAGACAGAAGGAATTGATGAGTTACCTTGCAATCAAAGTCCCTTCCTCTCAGAGTCTCTCCCAGCCCTCCCCCCCCCGTTTTCTCTACGCTTTAGCCATGGCCATCACCATGGTTTCCAGCCTCTTGAGCAGAGAAATCTGTCTCCTCTTCAATGTCAAGAGTGCAGGGGAAGGGTGCTGAGTGTGGGGCCGAGAGAGCAGACCGTGGTCAAGCAGGGAGGGGATGGCATTCTGATAAACAGGGGCTCTGAACAGGGCAATGGCTGCCAAGGGCAGACCTAGCTCTGGATTCAGGCAGCTGCTGGATAGCGAGGGGAAAGAGGGTGGTCCAGGAGCTTGAATCCAACCCGGGAAGACACCGTACAGATGGGAAATCCCAGACAGGTGCGTTCAGTGACCACTGAGCACCTGAACAAGCAGAACTGTTCAGGAGCACTCTAGGGGGATTAGGGAGATACACTGAGTGGGGGAAGCCTTGAGCTATTCTGATTCAACAGAGTCTGGACTTCAATGATTTTATGCAGGACTGAGTGGAGGTTACATGGAGTGGTGATGGTTTGATGAGGAATACATGTCCCCTATAGGCACATGCATTTGAACACTCAGTCCAGGGCTGGTGGCATTCTTTGGGAAGGTTGTGGAACCTTGGGAGGTGGAGCCTTGCTGGAGGATGTATGTCACTGGGGGTAGACTTTGAGCTTATAGCCTGGCCTCACTTCCTCTTTTCTCTCTGAATGAAAATGTGGTGAGGCAATTTCCTTGACTGCTATGCCCACCTCATACCCCTGATGCCATCATGCCTTGTCTGCCATGATGGACTGTAAACCAAAGTAAACCTTTTCTCTCCAAAGCTGCAGAAAAGCAACCAATCCAGGCTTCCAGGGTAGGAGACAAAGATCTCCAGACAAGTGTTCCCTAGGGGATGGGACATGCCTTGGGTCCTATGAAGCAGAATAAAGGACCAAAACCATTTTAGGTTATATTATCGTGTTAGGTTAATATATCATGTTGGTTATATATCTCTGGGAGTGAGGTTGGAAAGAATTCACGAAGAACCCCTCATTTGTAAACTCAAGCTAAAGATGTGCCCACGGGAGTTAGGGCAGATGAGAGAACTCAAAGGGTGCTGTGACTATCTAGGACAGATGTGTGGGATCTCTTCTCTCTTGTGAGGAGAGGCAAAGCTCTCTACCTAAGCCTTGGCCGGTGTTAGCACATGCACACACCGTTCCTGTGCCATCGCATGGCTCCACTCTCCGTTGGGTCCCATTTACGCCAACGCTCTCTAGACAAGCCTTCCCCCTGGTGATATACAGGCTGTGTCTGTAGAGGCTTACTCCCATCTAGAGAGTAAGGCAGACAGACATTGAGCCAGATAACACCTACAAATGCCAGATTCTATTGATGGGAAGTGTTGAGACTTCATGAGACAAGGTATTCCATGAGTACATGGCAGGCTGGTATGATCTAACTCCTGGACCACAGATGGTGTTCAGTGATCAACTTATTAGCAAGTCCAATGATACTTGACAGTCATGAGATAACAGTCTCCCCTGAAAAGGTGCTCCAAGGGATGTTCTTGGGTGCAGATGGACTCAAACAGAATGGTCCATCATGGACTGACGAGAGAACTCCTGGCAGGACCATTTGATGTGTCTAGACCCCTTATCTGCGGTCTACCATTCACAAGACTCCTGTTTTGATTCTGAGAACTACAAAATCAAATCAAAACAAACAAAACTTGCAGTGTGCTTGAATCCACAGAACAAAAGCATTTAGGAAGGTCATTTTGGGGGCTCTTTACCCTGAATGCTTTTCTTTACCACATGATTTGCCACTGTCCTTTATTAGAACATTCAAATTACACCATTTTTTGGTGATGTCCTCCCAAATTCTCCATCATATCCCAACTGACTCAATATTAAAATCAATATTAAGTAGGCTATGCCCACATTGTAGCTCTCACACGTGGGCTGGGGTTTAGTTTTGTGTGTGTTTTCCTTCCTTTCTCAGGAGTGAGGCAAGCAAGGGACTGGGCAGAATACAAAATGATTTATCTCATGCTCTTTATCTTGCCCACCCCTCCCCTCTGCATAGCCTAGTGTGTGAAGAAGAAAGGGAAGAAACAAAGGAAGAGGAAGGATAACAGAGGAAAGTCGGAAGGGAGGATTGGTGAACAGATACAGGGACAGGCAAATGGACGGATGATGAGTGCGTTGATGGGGTGGGTGGGTAGACAGGTGGATGGATGGGGGATGGATAGGTGAGTGGGTGGAATAATGATGAGTGGGTGGATGGATGGATGGGTGGACAGATGCCTCTGAAGTTATATGAAGACACAATTTGAGAGGCAGCAAGGTGTCATTGAAGGAGCAGTGGATGAAAACCTTTAAGAAGTCCTGGGTTTGGGATCTGAATGAACCACGAAGAGTTGTATCACTATCTGCATTTTTCTTGAACCTCTGGTTCCCAATTTCCAATGGATGAAGTAAGAAAATCGAATTGTTTGATTTCTCAGGCTCCATCACACTCCGTATTTCTATGCATTCTCGTTCTCACAGGGAATGATGTCATGCTCTTGGGTGGAAGTGATGTACCAGCCGATGCACACGTGGTGTTCATGGGTTCCCAACAGAAGGCTAGCAGCAGCATGGTGCTATAAGTTTTACAAAGGTAAGAAAAGGGCATGCCCCCTGCTTTCAGTGGAATTACTGTTTGTTTAGAGAGGTAAGATTGGGCAACCGTCCAGGTCAGGAACAACTGCTTTTACCAGCTTCCTTCACTCTCAGATGCTACGATAAATGCCATTTTGACCCAGTATGCACAGCTACCCCACTTCCTTAAGCAAAGCTCTGGCTTCTTCCAGCTCAGTGCCTCTGTACCAAAGATTCTGCTGTGCTTGGGAGACGTCTCTAACCTCTGAGGACCTGTCCTGGTTGCTTAGTCTATAATCTAAACTGACAACAGACTTTCTGTTTTAAAATAAAGCCCTATCATTTCCATCCTCTGGGCTCCGCTACTCCCCTCCTCTCCCCTCCCTCCCCCAGCTTCATCATCCCTCTTCCGAAGTTGAAAGTGAGTCTTATTAAGTGGTGCTGTGTCATACACTGTTGAGTTGTGTCAGCTGGAAATGGAACATGATTAAGTATATAAAGGAGCCCCAGCTTTGCCTGCCACAACATTACACAACAGAAGCCTTGGCAACCTGAGAACATCTATTCTCTCTCTTTTCCTTCCTGGTGAGCGCTGTGACCTGACTCTCACTTCGTGGGTCCTGATGCTGGACCCAGCTGCCTTTGGAAGAGGTGTGCCTGGGCAGCACATTGATATAAGAATAGCCCCATTATACGAGTGCCTTGAGATCAAGTGGAGTTCATACAGAAATAGGCCTGCAGGACTTCCCCAGATATTTGCCGAGCCCAGAAGAGTCTAAAGCATGTGGATAGTGTGTTCTTGAGGGCACTAGGGCCAGGTGCACTGTCGTGGCACCCTCTGGCTGGGCCATCTCTGCCTTTCACTTTCTATACAGACTCTGCAGGAGCATTCTGTTTTCGGATAAAATCCTCCTAAATGGCAGACCTCACCTGAAATGCTTTAGGGACTGATCTTTCTTGAATGCTGGCCTCACCCCAATCAGCTGGTTTCAGCTCTATAGGAGAAGGCTAATATTCAGGGTGGAAGAACTTCCAGACAAACCCAATGAGAAACATCCATGACATTTCGTTGCAGCCTTGCACCACCCATCCCCCTACTTATTTCTAACTTATACTTTTCTGTCTCTTGTCTTTGTACTCCTCTGGTCAAATCGTGCCCTGTATTGCTGTTGTGGGGGGTATCTGACATCTCCAGCTTAAGCTCATTCTAGTCTTGACACCTTGGTCTATGTCTGGACTTGTATGCATGTGTATGTATACACATGTCCCTGTAAGAACAGGTACGTGTATATGTTTCTATGGAAGGGTATATGTCTGTGTGCATGTGCATGTGTGTGTGCACGTGTGTAACTCAGCGTTCAGTCTCAAGCGGTAGTCCACAGGAGCCCTCCACTTTGTTTTTTGAGACCCAGGGCTTCTTAATTAGCCTAGGCCAGCTGGTCAGAGAACGCCTGGGATCCTCTGTCTCTTCCTCTCCAGTACTGGGCTTGTGAACACTCCACTGGACCTGCCTTTTTAACATGGATTCCAGGGCTTGAACTGAGGTTCTCTTGCAAGTACTCTTCTGACTGAGCTACCTTGTCCCAGTCTCCTATGTTTGGACTTTAAAGTATCTTACTTGTTTCAGTCAATAGCACCTTGATTCAGTATACTACCTCTGGTTCCAGTAGCTGTCTCATTTTGAAACGAAACTGGGACATGGCAGTTGGCATAAAACCTCTGTTTCTCATCTTATTCCTTCTCTTTCACACCATAGCAATTTCTGCTTTGATTGGAGTTAGGGATTTTGAGCCATGGCAAAGAGTCATTCGCATCATGGCTGTCCTCAGGGAGACATGACAGTCTCATCTCTCTGTGACCTTGAGCAGAGGATACAGTGTCCCCAAGGTCCCCAGTACTTTGCCGAGTCTCAGACCCTGATTTTCAAAATGCCTGCTGGGTACCTCTGCGGCAGATCTGCTCTCGCATCCCCCTTCCTTATTGCTCCCGTTCAATCAACGCCAAGTGCTCCGGCTTCTACTGTCTAAATACCTCTTAAATCAATCACCGCTGAACGGGCTCCGCAGCCACAGCCTTAGCTCAGGCTTGACATTCCTTCTTGGGATTATTGCCTCTCAGCCTCCTGGCTGCTCTCCCTGCCATTGTCCTTCTCAGCTTTTTCCAACGCCTTCATATTCCTGCGATAGCTCTCTTTCTCAGAGACACACCTGCTATTGCTTGGAGGGAAAACGTCCAGTGGATCTCCATCATCTTTACTGTGGTGTACAGGGCTGTCACAGCTTGGCCCTGTTTTCCTGGAGTTGTCTCCTGGCACACCCCCTTCGCATTCTACACTCTAGCCATGTTGAACATTACACCAATGTCTTGACAAGCTGTTTTTACCCACGTCTCTATGGCTTCTGTATAGACTTTGCCCTCAAACTGGAACACCCTCCTTGCCTTTCTAGCTCCCTACCTGGGCCACACCTCATTCTCCAGATGAGGCTGAACTGCCCCCTCTTCCATGAGAGGCCCCCTGACTCTGTGGGAGGGAGTCAGCCTCCCTCCCTCTGTTCCGCTCACATTGTTCTCTCCATCATCCACCCGATCGATTTATTTGTAATTATTTGTACATAGGCACCTCTCCCTCATCAAATAAAGACCTCCCCGAGTGTAGGAACTCAGCTCCTAGCACAGTGTCTGACATAGACTGTAGGTGTTCGATAACCATGACTGACTGAATGCAGGACGTTTGCTAGATGAGCTGGAAGGGTTTGTGGGAAGCATGCGGAGCTGAGAGGAGACAGAAAGGACAGCTTTTGTGTCCCCCACAATGTCCCTACTGGTTATCTAGCATGGATTTTCAGGGACACTCCTAATGTAAAATATTTATTCATGCTTCCTTTTCATGTACACCTATCCACAAGTCAGATAAAATCCTTTGTCTAGCCACGTGTTTCTGGCTCAGCTTTAGATAGCAGCCTAGTGATAACCAATGGAGGATCTGAGCTGCTACAAAACAGTTCTATGCCTCTCCCCGATGCCTTCTTTTTTGCTTCTTTCTGCCTCTCCAAGCCTCTGTTCCATTTTGCAGAGCTCTGTGGGTGCCCAGAATTGGAGGTTTGAGTGATTCTGGGTTGAAGATATGATCTGAAGCACCAGAGCCCATGAGGATCCTTATTGGTTAATCTTAGTGGCTGGGGTGGCCAAGAGAAAAACCCACATGTGCTTCTGTGAGCAGGCTCTCACCTCTGCAACCCCAGGGGATTTGGCATTTAGCTGGCTTCTATTTGGCTTGCAATGTTTTTGTCCAATTCTAATACATGGGCTTTATGTGTTTAGCTTGTGTACAAAGTTTATGCTCATAAATGGCTTATATTCTGTCTAGAGGGACTCGGAGTCCTGGGCTAGAGCCTGTGAACAGAGTGTAATGTAATTCTGGTGTTTTATTAACCATAATAACCAGAAGTCTCCAGCCACTAATATATCTGCATAGAGGTTTGTCTGGATTTCCAATTATTTTCACTTTCAGCACAAACTGGACAGAAAATTCATTTCAATGCAGTTGAGCCTTTTATTCGTCCTAAGCTTAGATTAAGTCATCTGCCATGTGAACCGTGAGTCCAAGGGCAGGGAGAGTAAGTGCCTGGGCTCCTCTCCCTGGCACCGTGGGAGGTCCCTAGGGCCATGTGGGTTGCATAGGCTTAGAGGAGTTATTTTTCCATTTTCTACCACCTCTGAAACTGACATTCTTAGTACCCAGCTTCTGTCCTAGGAACTGAAAAAAAAAAATCCCAGAGATTTACTTCCAATGTTTAGGCTCACATTGGTGCCTTTTCTTTTATCTTTAAAGTAGAAAACAAAAGCAAAACAAAATGCTCTGTCTAGTGAGGTGAGGGGTGGGTGAGGGGGGTGGGACTCAGTTGGTAAAGCACTTGCCTTGGTAAGCCTGAGGACTGTGGTGCCCAGCACTCAAGGAGAAGTACTGGGCGTGGTGGTATATGCTTACACAATCTCAGTACTGGGGAAGTAGACACAGAAGGATCCTTGCACCTCACTGGCTAGCCAGTCTAGCTTAACTGGTGAGCTCCAGGCCAATGAGAGGCCCCCATCTCAAAAGAGGTAAACGGGGTTCCTGAGGGCGACATCCTTAGGCCTCTTCATGCAAGTGCACGCATGTGAATGATCACCTCCACACACAAGAACATGCACATATATGTGCATTGAAACTATCCACCCCTTCAATCAGTGACAAAATTAATTGACTCTCTGGCTGCAGATGACTTTAGACTATGACTTGGGATGTTATTGATTTTTTTTCTCTTCATAAAGCTTTTCTATAAAGTAAAAACCTGAAGACCTTAAGTTACAAAGTTTGAGTTAAATTATGAGCCTTTTAGCTTTGCATTAGAAGTGGTATCTGGAACCTGATTTGCTAGATCAGACCACATTAGTTGTGTTATGTTATTTTCTAAAAACACATTTCAGAGAAATAACTCCAATCTGCGTTGCATTTTATAGAGCAAAATAATTGAATGGCGGCTGTTTGTAATTTTAGCAATCTCTTAACCTTAATCATATTTAATGGCTTTTCTCTTCAGGCTAACAGGAGAGAGAGAGAAAAAGGTTCCAGCTCCCTTGTATAACGGCGTGACAGTAATGCACCCCGGTCCTCGGCAGCACAGTAAATTCCTCCTCTCTGAATTGTTGGTTCGGGACAATCATTCAGCAGGGAATTACTTTCTCATCTATGAAATAAATGAGATGTTAAACTAGTTTTCTGCTTCCTGTGGTACAAATGTATCAGTGTGTAGCCCCGTGCAGAGAGAAAACAAATGCCCAGGGTCTTGGATGCTGTTGGCCAGAAGGGGAGAGGCACTTGGGGTCCCTGGGATCAGAGATGGAGAACAAGGCCAGTGGGGAAAGGCTGGCCAAAAGAAACGAGATGATGGGAGAGAGTGGAAAAGTATGCCAGCCACTAAAAGTGCCGGGGTGCAAGCCCCAGAAGCAAGGGGATCTCAGCAGGGGCTTGCAGACAGGAAAGGGGATACTTTAAGTTTGTGGGGGGCTCTGTGCTATCGTCTGACTCCCATGGAAAGGAACAAGCAAATGGGGCGATTGGTGACAGGTGACACTCCAGGGTATTTCTAGGTTAGAGCCCGAAACATATTCCCTCAGGATTCACTGGTTTTAGGTCCTCAGTGGGATGTTGGAAGGAGCACTGTCTCCATGCTAGAGATGGTAAAAGCCAAGAGCCAGGCAAGGGGGAGAACCAGAGCCACAGCTGGGGTGAAGATGAGGTTGAACTCAAGTGCCTCAGGGAGTGTAGGCTATGAATCCCGGCTTTCTGGTTACAGATAGTTCTGGGACTGGAGTTCTGCGATTGGAGTGTCTCTTCTCCTGGCTCAATAGCCTCACCTCCAGACTTGTATTCATTCACAGAGTCCTACTGAGGGGATTGTGTAGCCAGATGCTCTTCTCTATACCTTGTTCGGTTGTTTTGCCAAAAACTGCAGATTCCCTTTAGAGACGGGGCTCAGCTCCCTCAGGTGGGTCCCTGTGACATTGCTGAGGTAACTTGTCTGTCTCTTTATTGGGAAGAGATAGTAAAGGACTAGGCTTTGTCTCTAGATACTTCATCAGTCACAGGTTGGAAGGCTTTCTGAAATCAAAGCAATATTGTTTTTATTCACCATCTGTTATGTATCTTAAACCATGCAATGTACTATGAACACGGGATCTAATTTGATCTTTATATGGTAAACCTATCAGGTACCTATTATGTGCCCATCTTATAGGTAGAAATTTTGAGGCACAAAAATGGATAAAGCGGTACACAATCTGTATTCCTAGAACTCAGAAGGTTGGGCGATCACGACTTCAAGGCCTGCCTGGGACATAATAGCACCTTGTCCCCCAGATGAATAAAGGCCCACGGCCCAGCAGCTCTTATGCCTCAGCAGTCACTGGGGCTCTGGATCTAAGTCCAGTAAGAGACCCCAGCTTCCTACAAAGCTGTATCTGAGCATCCTAGCCATTTTGTGTGGTTGCTGTGACCCCAGAGACCCTAAACTCTACTCCTTAAGATTGCCCTCAAGTCATCCATCCCCATAGGGAGCAAGTAAAGTCCTGAGTGAATATGTATTGGTTGACATAGGAATGACCATGGCAAGAACCCTAGTGCCTCAGCCCTATGGGAGTGGCCAAGTCTTCTCTTGGTGAGTCTCAGAGGGAAGGAAAAGCCTGCAGGTCCAAGTATAAATGTAGATAGTATATGTAGGAAATGTCCACTGTGACTTTCTCTTCCTTGATGTTCACAGCCTGAAGACTAATCACCTACAGAGAGTGTTCCTACCAAGGTTAGCTGAACCTGCATCCTTATTCAGCTGTATACCATAAACCCCACATCTTTGTTCAGCTCTATGCAATAATTCCCCTCCCTGTTCAACTGTATAAATAAACATTCTGAGCTTCTTGGGTGTTGTGGCTTTTCCATCCAAGAGCTCAGGCTATCTAATCCAGTGGTTCTCAATCTGTAGATTGTGAACAGATTGTGTGTGTGGGGTCAAATGACCCTTTCACAGGGGTCATAGCAGATATTTACATTACAATTCATAACAGTAGCAAAATTACAGTTATAAAGTAGCAATGAAAATAATATTATGGTTGGGGTCACCACAACATGAGAAACTATATTAAAGGGTTGCAGCATTAGGAAGGTTGAGAACCACTGCCCTAATCCAGTTTTTGTTTTGGTGTGTGTGTGTGTGTGTGTGTGTGTGTGTGTGTGTGTCCTTTCTTCATTCCCTCATTGTCTCTAGTCAGGGCTCCTGGACCCAAGCCATGCAAGGATATGGCAGAGCCCACCACTGGAAGTCCAGGTTAGTGGGCTAAAATCTCATATAAATGACAACCAACACACAAGTCTCAGATGCCCAGGCCCCACTGAAAAAACACAAGCAATAAAAAAATCCCAAATAATATGTTCCCTTCCTCAAACCCCAAGAAAATCTTCCCCAAGGAGAACAACTTGGATGACATTCAAGACACATAGCTCAAAATAACAGATGCAAACATGGTCAGTGAGTTCAACTAATTCAGACAAGAGTAACTGAAGTCTAAGAAAACACAAACAAATGGTCAAAAGAAGGAATGAGGACAATTCAGGATATGAAAACTGAACTCAATAGAAACAGAAACACTGAAGAAAACATAAACTGAAATGAAACAAGAAATGAAAAACTCAGCAAGTTTAATGAAAAGGTCAGGAGAAAGTGCCTCACCAACAGAATGGATCACACAGAGAGAGAGCAGGGCTTGAATTGAGTCACTTGATTGAAGAAATGATAAACTAAAAATCTCACAAATGAGGTATGCAGCAGATTTGGGACACAATGGAAAGGCCAAGTTTTATGAACTGTGGGTCTAGAGGATGAAGAACTCCACACGAAAGACATAACAAATATTTTCAATAAAATCATAAAAGAAAATTCACCAAATTTAGAGACAGAAAGGCCATTCAAGGAAATGAGGACTACAAAACATCATATAGGTAGGATCAGGAAAGAAACTCCCCCTGGCATATTATGGTTAAAACACTAAAATCACAGAGTAAAGAAAAGCATTGAAAGTAGCAAGGGTGAAGGGCCAAGTTATACATAAAGGCAGACCCATCAGAGCACCAGCTCTCGATTTGATGGAAACTTTTTGGATCTCGCTCTGTAGATCAGGCTGGCCTCAAACTCACAGAGATCTGCCTGGCTCTGCCCCCTGAGTGCTGAGATTAGAGGCGTGTGCCACCACCACCCAGCTTGATGGAAACTTTTAAAGCCTGCAGGCTTGAAAAGATATATTCCATCTTAAAGATCACGATGGTCAAGCCAGACCATTATTCCCAGCTAAAGTGTCTACTACAATTGCAAAAGAAGCAGAAACTTTTCCTGATAAAAACAGACTAAAGGAATATAAGACCACTAAGCCAGTTCTTCAGAGGACATTGGAGGGAAAACTTCAGACACAACCAAGAGGCCACAAAGGAAAGGTAAACAATACCAGAACAGTTCATCAGAAGTTATCTAAGAAGATACCACAAAAGACTAGAAGGACAGGAATTACTACACATTGTTTAATAATAACTCTGAAAATGAAAGGTTTTAATTCTAAAAAAAAAAACCCACAGGAGATCAGGTTGAATTAAAAAACAGTCTCCATCTTTCTTCTGCCTCTAAGAAGCACATCTCACCATCAAAGATAGTACCACCTTAGAGAAAAAAGACAGACGAGGGTGTAGGTGGAGTTTTTTTGTCAGGACTACTGTCTCCCCAATAACTGACATGGAGACTTATTATTAATTATAAATGCTTGGCTGATAGCTTAGGCTTGTTACTAACTAGATCTTTAAACTTAAATTAGCCCATATTTCTTGTCTACACTCTACCATGTGGTACTACCTTCTTTCAGCATGGCATGTTCATCTCTTGGTTCCTCTGCCTCTGGCTGGCAACTCTGTCCTCCTTCTTCCCTTCTGCTCTCTTTTTGTCTGCAAGTCCTGCCTAACCTCTACTTGCCTAGCTATTGACCATTTAGCCCTTTATTAAACCAATAAGAGCAAAAAAAAAAAAAATAGTCACAGCGTATGAAAAAATTGTTCCACAACACAAGGGTAACCAAGCAAATGCAACTGAAAAAACAGGCAGACATATTTAGTCTAATACTTGACAAAACATACTTAAAAAAAACTAATGAGATTTTATTGAAAAAAAATTGCTTCATACTCATTAAAAGAACAATCAATCAAGGAGGTATTCCAATTCTAAACATATATGCACCCAACACAGGTGCATCTAATTTCATAAGATAAATACTACTAGTTGTAAAGCAGCAGATTAACCTCAACACAGTAACAGTGGGTGACTCTAGTATCCCATTATTACCAATCCACAGGTCACCTTGACAAAAACTAAAAGGAGAAACACTGGAGTTAATTACAGCATAAGTCAAATGGACCTAATAGGCATCTACAGAGCATTCTACCCAAACACCAAAGAATACAGATTCTTCCCATAGCCCATGGAACTTCCTTCAAAATAAATGACATATTAGGGTACAAATCAAGCTTCAACAATTACATGAAAATTAAAATTACATCTTGTATTCAATTTGACCCTAGTGGAAGAAAGCTGTTGATCAACAGCAAAAGAAACTACAGAAATCACACCAACTCATAGAAATTAACAACACATTATTGAACAATGAATGATTCACTGGAGAAATTAAGGAGAGAAGAAAGAAATTCCTAGAATTCAATGAAAATGAAAGCATAATATCAAAATGTATGGGGCACAATGAAGTACTATGTGCCTACATTAAAAAAAAAATCAGTGAGGTCTTAAACAAGTAACTTAACAGCACACACTAGGGTCTTGGAAAAACAGAAATAAACCAATCCCAAAAGTAGTAGATGGGGAAAATAATTAAGATCAAGGCAAAAATTAATGAAATACAAACAAGTAATACAAAGTATTAATGAAATGAAAAGTTGATTCTCTGAAAGGATAAACCTTTACCCAAATTAATCAAAAGAAACAGAAAGACAACACAAGTTAATAATATTAGTAATGAAAATAGAGATATTACAATAGCCACCAAAGAAATGTAGAAAATCACATGTAAATACCTTAAAAACCTATATTCCACTGAATTGGAGAAATGAATCCAAAAGAAATGGATGAAT